TGGAAAAAGCACATCATCTTGTGTCACGAAACCCACCCTAGACATTATCACATAACGCAAACTGAAGTTAATACAAATCCATGTACACTGAAAGAAAAACTTGTATCTACTCTCTGGTTTAAGACAGCAAATAAAAGGAGGCAATTTTTTTTCTATTGATGGATATGTACCACCTTCTTTTAAGAGCTGGATTATATGGAATGTCATTGTAAGTGACGGTTCCTTTGACATTTTCGTGCAATCTTCCACCCAATATCTTTAACAAAGTCGTTTTTCCACTGCCCGAAGGTCCCATTAAGGCAAGAATTTCACCCGGACTAATGCTTCCCGTTATACCCTTGAGTATATGTTTGTAATTATCATTTTCAAACTGAGAAGCTACCTTTGAGACAACTGCCTTGACAGGATTGTTGGAGAACGCTTGGTTTGCCTTCACCTTGTACTCTACATTTGCAAACTGCATACAAAACTATTCACATTACAGAAGCCACGACTCGTAAGCATATATCATGAAATTTATTGATGCCAAATGGGGCGGGGCAGATCAGAGCAGGTGAAGCCTTCGCGAGGCCACTAGTTTGACATGTCCTGCCCTGCCCCGTTTAACATTATGAAGAAAAAGTACCTTGAGGAATATGGGAAGAGGTTGATCTATATGAGCGATAGACGTATCATGTTCAACTTCTATATCAATTTCGGAGCTTCTGTTTCTAAGATAAGCTTGAGACATGAACTCTATGTTATGTCCAAAACCATTACTTCCAGCAATCTGCATTGAGCCAACAGTTGGAAGGGACAACGACAAGTCCTCGATTTCATCTTGTGCCACATGCTCCATTGTATCATAAAAAGGAAAATTTGTATCTTCTTTACAAAGTTCATGACAATTATATATGGTAAGATAAGTTGAGGAACAAAACTAGAATTTTGCCTAAAATCTTGAAACTTGTTGAAACACATGCTTTCTATTGAAACCTACTAGATATACTTTGGTTGGTGATCTTTATGCATTGTATGATCTTTGAGGTCAATTTCTAGTTATGGCAGCACAACCTTGTTGCTCTTTCACCTATTATTTTATTATTATTATTATTAGACTTCTAATAATATTTGAAACTATGAGGAATGAAAATGTAAACAACTTAAAAACAAACTATTTTATCATTCAGATTTATGTTGCACCGACTCTTCAAAAATGTCATTGGAGGCCTGCCGAATCCTTCAAAAATAGTGTAGTTTTAAAGGATCCAACACAAGCGCAACAACATTTTTATAGATTCCGATCAACTTAGATAAAGATAAGAGAGTTACTGCATGAAATAATATTGATAGGCAAATATTGTAGGAAAAAATAGATGATTTCTAATATAAATATAAAAACAATAATATTATCAAATTGATCACAGGATGCCAAATGAAAGGGAATATGTAAATATTGTACTAATAAGTTATTTCTTCCGGCTCTAACCACCTATCATTTCATAATGTATCATTATTTTTGTGAATATGATTTTGTATAAATTTATATCGTTTGTTATGATTTAATAACAAATTTTATTATTTGGTGTGATTTATCAACAATTAATCATACAAATAATTTAAAACAACTTTTTTTTCTTCAAATTTATCACCAATTTTACCCTGTGAATATATTAAGTTATTAAATTAATAAAATATCCAATAAAATTATTAAAATATAAAGTATTAATGGAATAATAAAGGGATCTAAACCCCCTGTCAAAATCTTCAGAGAAAAAATGGAAGAATCGCAAGATATTCTGCTGAACTCCATCGCCGGCTCCGGTGTGACGATTCCTCCCGGCGTATCATCGGTGAAAGATCTCACGCCGGCGACGTTATTCTCCATATCCTCCCAGGCATTGCACCTCATCGACCGCCAAAACTCGTCGTTTCCCGCTTCCTTGCCGGAGAATTCAGTTGCCGACCGCTCAAAGCTCTGCTCGGAGCTTGCCTCCGCTTTCAAATCCCTAGGTTTCGTCGGAGATATCAGCTTTCACAAGGTTTTACTTACTACTGTTATATATACCTCTCTATCTGCACGTTTCGGAGCTGCTTTTGCAGACGTAACCGAATTTCTTACTAATTATTTTTTTCATATGTCAAATTATATGCGCTCGTAGTAGGTGATGCAGCTCAATGCGGAATTAATTGATTTTGATTTGCATTAATTCTAGATTGCTTCATGTGTTTGTTAGATTTGTGCTTAGAGAAAGCATTTTGTGTTTATTGCTTAGGCAGTTCCTTTATCCATCGGAAGAGGACTTGTACGAGTTGATAAGGTTCTTGGTTGGGAGGCTATCTGATGTTGAAGCTCGAAAAGATGTAGTTGGAGAATCTAAAAGTCTTCTTAAGACTCCAGAAGAAAAGCTTGATGATGCAGGACTGCTGCCACGTAAGGGGCTTTCGGAGAGACAGTGTGATCCATTGATGAGGATGACACAAACACCAGAGGCATCAAAGGAATCTGATCTTATTCCGAATAAGATGGAAGAGTTCTATAATGGTGTTGATATACCTATAGAAGGTGGAGCTGACTCTAGCAATGAGACATCAAGTGGTGAACAAGACGTCCTAGATTTGGTGGAGGGCGTGAGGAGGAGCTCTTTGAGAGACGGTGAGCATAATTTTGAGTATGGACAAGGACAACAATCAACTTCACCATGCGTGCGTTTGCCTCAGGTACTTAATTATAGGTGGATTGCATTGCATCTTTAGTATATTGTGGTAGACCTTTTAGGCTTTGAGCTAGTTGTCCAATAGAGCAGAACAAGCCAATGATTTTTGAATTGGAGCATATGAAGATAACAGAAATAGGGAACAAACAATGATACTATTTGATTTGGTAGTTAGGCATTCAGAATGCCTCCAACATGTCGTCTTATCTTCTAAATTCACGCCATATTGCAGACGAACTGCAAGATGGAAACTTTACAAGATCAAAAGGAAATGCTTGTGGAGAATTCAGTCTCAAGCTCGGTTCAATTACAAGAACTGCAAGAAAAACTTGATTTGTTGAAAGCAGCAGTGGAAATGGCTTCTGATCACAACCATCCCAGTGGATTTTATGTGAATCAGCTAAACGATCAGGTGGAAGTGAAAAGGGGCAAAATTGTTGAAATGGAGAGTCACTGGTAGGATAATGATGTTTCTATATTTTGAACATTTTTACTTATATTTTCCCTATTGAAACTTGGATGATATCAATTGTTAAGCCTTTTAAAATCTCGTACAGCATTGATAGAAGCAAGGCCCTTGAGCAGAAGAAGGTTTCTCTTGAGGAAAAGTTAAGAGCAACAGAACCAGATACCTATGTAAAATATAAAAAGGTGGAAGAGATTGAGTTGAAGCTGGAGTATATATTAACCGAAAAGAAAAGAAGGTACCATCTTTTATTAGGTCATGCAAAATATCCGTCGTTTATTAGATTACGTAGTTGCACCAAGAGCGAAATTGAGAGAAGAAACTGTACCATTGTTGGACATTTAAGAATTTTCATTACTCATTATGGAAAGAGGTCAAGTAGCGTGGATCTATTTGTATATCCGAGCTTTAATGCTGCTAAAGGCCTTTTTCATATACCTAGAAAAATGTTGTTTTGGTTACAGAGTAACTCATTTCTCTAAGCATGTAGAGAAATTTAATCAACTTGGTAGCTTTGTCTGAATGTTTGCTATGCGTCACTCTGCAGAGAGGACGAACTCATTGAACTCTCAGCCAAGGCTGAGAAGCAGCCCAAACTGCAACCTAGGAGAACCTACATTCAGCGTGTTGAAGAGATCACCAAAAACAGCCGGAAGCAGGATGTTGACATAGAAAGAATATTAAAAGAAACAAGGGAGCTTCAGTTGGAGAGCAACTCTGTCCAAGAACGGCTTAATCGAACTCATGCAGTGGTGGATGAAACAGTATTCAGGTACAATCTTTTAATATGCTGCTGACCATGAATTTAACATCTTCACGAGAGTGTAGATTGTTCTGATGTAAATTGTCTGATCTTTTACAAGGGAGGCAAAAAAGGACCAAGTGGGACAACAAGCTTACAGGATACTGACTAACATCCATGACAGCTTTGAACAAATAGCTGAAAATCTTCTTGCAACAGATAGAGCCCGACGAGAAGTGTCTGATTATGAAGGCAAACTTGCAACTATGGTGTCTCGAAGTGTTGATATTGACAAGATGAAAGCAGATCTTGATACCATCAGGAGGGAAAATGATCTTCTAGAAAAGAAATTGTCCAAAGACTCATCGCAAAGTGTAGGGTAGAACAGTTGGAATTGATTGGTTATTTAAGATGAATGTTATGAACACTTAGGTTTCATTTTATGCTGTAATGTTCTAGTAACACATACACACATTGATCTACCTATCAACTTTTTGTGGAATCCATTGTCGAGGTATAATAGTGCTGCAATATCTTGATGATATTGAGACTTGCTCTTGTTGTACTCGCAATTTCCCATCGCAACATTATAATCTTCATTATTTGATTACCAAGAAATCATCAGAGGCTAAACTTGATGGATAATGAATCCGTAACGTGCCCCTAATACATACATCATGCTTTGCACTTAAAAAACCTTGCCAGATATTGTAACACATCATAGGATATTGCACTAAAGTTTTGTTGGAACAAAAAAAAGTCAAACACATTCAGGAAGGACAAATTGCTCGTATGTTTATCTTTATAGTGACCAAGGGGCAAATGTCAAGCCTTTCAAGATGTAATAGTATCTTTTTGCTGTCAAAAGTTGATATACAAGCTAGAAAGAGAAATGGAAACAATTGGTATCTTCACCAGCTCCACTCAAAGATCAAAAACTTCTCCACCCTAAAAAAGATCAGGGAATTGATGAAAGCTAATGGCTAACTATCAAAAGCAAGAAACTTTATCTTAGAACGAAAGGTTGAGAAGCCAACACTCCAACATACTCACCGAGAGTGCCTAGTTTCTAGCCACATCTAATGTACACTTAAGGGAACGGCTTTGGTCTATCAGTGATGTCTATACTACATACTTGGGTGATGTAAACAGTAAACATATCTATGGTCTTTATTCTTAGACGTTTTCTCTATTCAGCAATTTGTTATTCCAATGAATATTAGCTTGAGGTTGTTGAAAAGCACCAGATGTAGGAAGGCCAGAATCACCTGATCTGGCTACAGTTTGAGGTTGCTGGGCTAGGGCTTGAACATTAGATTGTGCAACTATTGTCTGAGATGCATTAATTCCAGGAAAAGAGCTATTGGAAGAGTGTGCTGGCGCAACAGCAATGTGCTGGTCCTGAGGGATGTTGTAAAAATAATTGGTCTGAAGCATTGATTGATCACGTCCAGGTGCAGAGTTTGTGTAATGGGAATCTTCACTCTGCACGAAAAAAGATTAGGTGATATCTTACTATCAGAATTGGACAGAAACCGATACATGCTTTATGATTGATTCACATAATATGCCACATTCAAATCAACCAAAAGTAGAAAGGACATAAGTTAGAAAAGGAAAACGGGGATTAAAATCCAAACCTGCTTGTGCATGGAATAGACATTCTTTTCTTTCAGATCAGGTGTAGTGAGATTTTCATTGCTAGCAGAACAAACTAGAGCTGGAGTTCCACTGTATGAGACAGTTGATGACCCATATGAACTGTAGCCAGTAGGGATGCCAAAGTGGTTCAAGTTTCCAGCAATAGCTGCTGGTTTGTATAGGGATGGAAGTGGTAATTTGACACCAGCAGCAGTAACTGATGGTGACATATAAAAGTTGGCAGGAGAAGGCTGCTGAGGGAATCCACTCGGGCCCAAAAACTGGTGGGAACTCTGTGGCATGTAAAGGTGGGGAATGTAAGGGTTATACGGCATATAATTAGGAGGAAATGGTTGGCGTACTAAAGGAAACAAATGTGGAGGAACGCTAACAGAACTCTGCCCAAGGCCTATGGCTTGAGCCACAGGTTGATTAGAGCCCAATGTTGAAGGAGCTTGAGAATTCCCACCCTGCAGAAGGCCATAGATTTATAAAAAATTTGTCAGACCAAAAATAACAGACACAAAAAAGAGATGACAGAGTGGGTGATGTGGGGAGGAAGGAAGATAAGGCACATAACTCAAGAGCCAACAAGCACCAAATAGACAAAAGTTAATTTGATATGTCAAATACCTTCAACTTTAAGCAGAGACAAACATTCTTCTACAAGTAATGTCACAAGAATCTCCAGCAAAAGAAAGAAGGTAAGGTTCAACGTTGTTACCCATATATACATACATGTGTATCTTGGTTGGGGTCCTTCGGGAGAAAGCATTGGGGGAGTGAGAAATATAAAAAATTATTTGCAAACCAGTTCTTGTCTGCTCTGACAGAGGTAATTGGTCAGAAAGATTGGTTTGTTTCAAAATCACTGGTTTGCCAATGATCACTCTGTTAATGGAAACTTAATGCATTAAGAACTTTATGTTCATATCCATCTCTTTGTTTGATATAAAGGAAAGCACTGAGTAAGTATATTACCCTGGACAAACACAGGATATAGTTTTAGTGAACTGTTGGCCAACACAAATAAAGCCCTTCCACTCTGAGTATTTCATGGTTCAGATCAGATATTGTAGAAAGAAATACCAAATAAGCAACTAATCTGCAAGTGAACCAAGAACTTATGCTGAACTTGTTCCATCTTAAAGTAATCCTTCAATAGCCAATACTACAAGATCTTCCCATTCAAATTGTTTACACAGTTAGCATTGTCTTATGTAAGAGGAAACTGACTAAATATTCATTTTGACAGCACAGACTGGAGCAAGGAAAAAAAATCCTTCCGAATGAAATATGGGAAGTAGAGATGTTTTAGGGACACAATGACATGCCTGCTGTTCTGGTCCCTCAGTACACACAAGATGGGGCCCAAGCATGGGTGGTACAAAACCCAAGCTGTAATCAGGAGTCTGGAGAAGTGGCAATTGTGAGCCTGCAGAAGGTGGACATTTCTCCGGCTTTGACCGATCATACACAGGAGAAGCATCAGATACTTCAAAAGGTGCTATATTTTCAGATCCATGTTGGTGCGACAGCAGATTGTCAGGATAATCACCTCTCTGAGCTGCTGAAGATGCATCTTCGTAGCTGCAGTTAGTTTTATATGGTGATGAGAGGCCAAGTATAAGATATAAAGAAAAGATTACCCAATAAACAGTTACTGTGTTACAGATCAGATCAGGATAAGCATAATGACAAGGGCATCCTAGTGTTACTATAAGCTACAAAAAAAACTCGGCAGTCCAGAGGCAATTGGTCATGGAATCTTCATCAAAATGTTATACATGATTGCAAAAATATATTGACATGCTCACAGACAAGAACGAATCAGAAAAATGCTTCAGTAGAGATACATTTAGATATATAAAATCACAAATGAATACAACACATGACATGTCACTCCCTTACCTACCTCCCAGGTTCCATGGAAGTAGTATCATTAGCTGGAACAGTCTCCACAGGCATCGAGTCTTTGCCACAGCTTATGCTGTGATCCAATTGAGGATCCAAACTACCGAAAGTCAATCCGCTCCTAAAAGATTCAGGTACTTGAAGATTATTCGGAAAAATAACAGGTTGACAACGGGCAGAGACATTTAACTTCTCTAACTTCATGTCAAGCTGTGGAACTGCTTGTTCCACAGAAGAATTTGGTTTAGAAACTGATGGTAAATTGTCTCCCTTTGCAACAGCTGCTGCCTGAGATGGCAATACTGCATCAAGATTATGATAAAGTGAGATTACCAAGAAAGGAAAAGTAAAAGAAGAAAGTGAGAATCACAAGAGTTCTCCTTTCTCTCCTCCTCAAAAGCAACACATGGTAAGCTCGTGATGGTTATGCTATTAATATCTGATTTTCTAGAAAGCCAACCAAATTCAATGATTGATCAGACGACAAAACCAGTAAGCAGTTATCCACATCATGAATTGATGGCAGTGAAATGGACTTGTAAGATAGAGCCAGCTATTTTTCTCATGTATATCTCGAAAACCACATTAACAATAATACTTTGGCCTTTGACATTTTGCAACTAAAATAGTTAACAAGAAATCTATCCACATTACTTAATTGAAGGAGGTTGTATTCCCTTGAAATTCAGACTTTCAGAAAAGATAAAAACAAATTAAAGGAGAGTCGATATAAATCAAAGTGGTACCTCCTGAATGAACCTTAACTTGTTTGGAATGCTGACTTTCATTATTGATTGCAACTGGTTGTATGGCAGTGACTGAAACTTCCCAGGATTCTTTTGACCCAGTTGTGTTTATGTAGTTTACAGTTCTAGTGACTGCATGAGTATTTTGTGGAGCATCTTGACAAGCATCTGATGTTCCCTCATTCGCAGGAGACACAGTGGAGTCGGTAACAGTGCGCTGGCTACCTATCTCACGTTTTATCGTACCAACTGTTACTGGATTTCGTGGGTTCAAGGCTGGCACTAGCACAGGATCCGATGAAGAAGAGTAGACACCAGAAACTGATCCTGAAGTTGTGCTTTTCACAAGCTCATTAGGTATCGATATGAAAACTTTATCTTTAAATCTGGTTCCAGGTGCAAAGGTGGGGGTGGGAGTAGGAGTGGGGCCAGGATCCAAGTTCAGATGATGATTTATTAAATTAGGAGGTATAGTTGAAACTTTTGCCAACTTATTTACATTAACAAATGAAGTAACTCTACTGACATGACTAGGATCATCTCCAGCAACCTCAACAGCAAATTCTTTGCTAGGATGTATACTAGCATCTTCTGTTTTACGTGCAGGTGGCATGGAGACCTTAGAAATTCTATCCTTCGAACTATTAACTCCATTTTCTTTCTTAATGTATCTTCTGCCACTGGCATCTGTCGACAATAAAGAAAGAGGGTAAGTTCACATTGCAAGCCATAAATATAGAAAATACATCTCCCTCTATCAAAATGAAACACTCTTCCAGATTCCAACATATGCCATGTATAAGTGATAAGAAACAGTGCATATATCAAAATATTGCACATGAAGGCAGGAGTGGACCAACCAGCATCCAACTACTAAGGAGGACGACTTTTTTCTTTGCTCATGAAAGTTGCTCAATTATTCTTGATATGTATGCTCAAAGACTCAAAAGAGTAAAACTAATATACAACATTCTGGATACTCAAGAAAAGTAGGTGAGTTAATCGATCAAGATCAAGACCACATTATGACAGTAACTCTTACCCTCGGTTGAAGTCCCATATTTACTATCAGTGATGTAATTTGCAGAAATTATCTCACGACCATCCCTAGCCCTTCTCTGCATGCCTGACATCCACCTGTAATCGTCAGACGTTTGGCTGCTGGCTTTCTGTGATAAACAGATGGTGGAACAATGAATGATCAAGCTAAGTGAATTTTTTGTAATAATATCTATAACGACTATCCCCATATTACTAGCTGTGTCCCCTGAATAATCCTAGTTTGAATCAACATAATCATTAAGAGAAATGCTTACTGTTTTCTTTCTGTCTCGTTTCTTTTTCACCTCATGAAAAGTATCTGCAGAATTAGATAGTGTTTGCTCAAGTGAAGAAAACAATAATGTAATAGGCTCAGCAATTACATGAATTCATGACGGATTATGAAATCGCAAAACTATGTAACGAGATAGGCATCACGGAGGCAGATATGGAATCAACAACCAACAGGGATTTCAAGAATGGTAGAACAAAATATACTCCTAGTTTCCATATAAACATATACTGACAGGAGAGTTCTAAGCATAGAGGAAGTACCTTACTCTAAAGCATAAAAAGGAAAGAAAACAAAAACATAAAAGGAAAGAAAACAAAAACAATTAGAAGTATTTGCTTCCTATTCTTCCTGCAGGACCATGAGTATATCGGTGAAACCGCAATTAGCAAAATTGACCAGATATTCACAAAATTAGACACAAAATCAAAAAATGATTTTTTTATATCCTAGCTTTGATAGACAAAGTTACATCGCCTTGGTTAACAAAGTTACCTGGTACTTGTTGTTGCTGGTGGGAGATGAAAGATATCCCATGAAATTAGCCTAAGTTGCGTGCAAGCTGGCCCAAAAACCACGATTATAATATGAAAAAAGTCCTATTTCTATCCTTACCAACCTAATTTCGGTGAAACATACAAGCATCAAATCAAGCTTTGTTTGGATGGTTGTTAACTACTATTGTATCGCTAAACAAGCTAAATAATTATATAAATTGGTGATTAAGGTAACAATTACCGAGATATAAAAGCTTCTGAGCGGTATCATTGGGATCCATATTGCATTCCTTAAGCATTGCGTAGATGTCTTCATCGGTGTGCTTGCCGGCGGCGATCTCCTTTATATCGTCAATCGTTTTCCGAACATTGCTCGGAATAACTCTCGAAACGCCGGTGCTCATGGTGACAATGAGAACGGAGAGATTACAGAATTAGATTCACATGTACCCAAATAGGAGCATGCACAATTGAAATCATTACGAGAAAAACACAAATGATTGCAAGTTACTTAATGTATATTAATATTTAAATATTATTCTCTTTCGTTTCGAAATAAATGAATGTTTTAGAGTGTGACACACGAATAATTAGTTGATGTAATATATCCGTACATTCTTTTCAAGGTCCGTATCTCATAACTCGTTAGTGTTTAATTTAAAAAATATAATATATAAATATGTTTTTTATATATGTCAAATGACACCAAATTAAATAACACGTTTATGTATTATGTCATTTAAAAATACATATTTATACAAGAAATATCTAATAATAACATTTTAAAATGACTTGTAAATTAATAATTAAATCGTCAACAATTAATATTTGATATCTTAATGATTTAATTTAACATATTTATAAATAGCTTATAAACTAAATTGATATATTTAAAAATAAGCTGAATCAGAAAAGCATCCCTAGTTTATATTGTATTTTTATCATGATATGAAAGGTGTAAATACTTGGTTTTGTAAATAGAAAGAATGTTTATTAGAAGAATATTTAGTACTATATATATTATTGGGAAAAGGGTTAAAAATGCCCTTAACGTATTCCAAATGGTTCAAAAATGCCCTCCATCCACTTTTTGGTTTAAAAGATGCCCTCAACATTTTTTTTAAGGTTTAAAATTGCCCTTTTTTAACAGCCGGCTGACATGGCAAATGATGAGTCATTAAATTATACAAATGGCTTCATCTTATTGGTCCACCTAATTTTTTAAAATCCAGCCCAACAACCCGACCCATCTATGCTACAAAAACTCAACCCACCCAGCAACCCGTTTACATATTAACCTAACATATCTTTGAACTCCATTTTAGCGCGATTCTCAGTCTTTTTTTGTAGCAGCCGAGGATGGTAGTTTAGGGTTGCAAATCACAACACCTTCGAGGTGCGAATGAAATTGTGTCATTTTGGAATGGTGGTAGCAGTCAAGGATGATAGATCATGGAGGGGCTTTTCCATTTTGGAATTGTTGGCTCTGTTAGTGAGTTGACTAACTGTGTCATTGAAATAAATGGAGTTCTAATGCAATAAATGGTGAAAGAAATGGATCATAAGCAAGAACAACCCAAAAATTTAATGATGAAAAATGCATAGAATTACGAGCATCCTCAGAATTAACATGTCGACATTGAAAAAATTTCATTATAGCACTGTTCCGAATTGTCCTGAAAAGTGACAAGAAAAAATTTATATGTTGAAATCAAATAACAAAGAATATGGCAAGAAAGTGAAAATCCAGATTCTAGTACCCATATTCCAATGAAAGAAGACAAAGATCATTTTTACTTTGGATAGACATACTGTGAAGTTCGGAAATTTTCTCTGCATCCTAAGCTCATGCTCTGCAATTAACTAGAGAATTGAGAACCAATGAATTGAAGGAGAAGAAAGAAGAGAACTAGAGCTAATTGGAATTAAAGACCCAAAAACGATCAGCCTATTGGGTTAGATTTTTCGAAATGGGTTTTTAGAATAAGTGGGTCATATATTTTGAAATGGGTAAAGAAAATCCACATCACATTTGTCATGTCAGCCGGATGTTAAAAAAGGACAATTTTAAACCTTAAAAAAACGTTGAGGGCATTTTTAAATCAAAAGGTGGATGGAGGGCATTTTTGAACCATTTGGAATACGTTAAGGGCATTTTTAACCCTTTTCCCTATATTATTAGGATAAATGTGAAATTGAATAATTATTTAGTAGCATTAGAAACGACAAGAAAATTATAAGGATCAAAGAGAAATTGCAGTATCGGGTCAAAATTGGCGATTTTACGGGTCTACTGTAATCGTCGCCGGTAAGCTTCCGTCGGTGTTCCGGTCACCTTGTTCAGTGAATTTGTGCTTTCTTTCTCTTCAAGGTTAGTGTGAAGTTTTTCGAATTAGCAGAATGTTTTATTGATTTATAAGTTTTTGAATGATTATGCATCCTGTTTTTGGTAGGTGTAGCCTGTAGGGTTATTGATTGAGTTGGATTCATAAGTGATTTGATTTCTGATGAGTACTGATATTGGTTTGGCCTTCATGGATGGAAAATAATTGGTTTTTTAACTTGTAGAAAGGAATGGCATCTGGAATTTCTGATTGTTTGATTTTGATGTTCCTTAGAAAACACTCAAAAGAATTTGCCTGATTTAAAAAGCCACTTAAGAATTATGAAACATTTGATAGTCTAAACAACAATGACATACCCGGTGCAATTCCACAAGTGGGATCTGGGGAAGGTAGGATTTATGCATATGTTGCCCCAACCTTTATGTGGTAAAGAAGTTGTTTTCAATAGAGATTCAGCTTAAAAGAAAAGAAGAATTCGAATGTATGCAAACCTTGCCAGTTGCCCTTACCTTGATCTACACATTCATGTGACCGAGACTGGCAAAGTAGAACACCATGGAAACTTTGCTGACTTTGTCATCAACCTTGATTTTTCTATGCTCAATAAGAATCCGGAATAGTGGAAATAAGTTTTGTTCCGTTTCCAAAGTCAGTCGTCTGCACTTTACACTTGGGCAATGATGAGACGACTCTCCAGTGGTTCTATTCTTTGTTAAGTAAAATTATATCACTATAGTATCAAGGGGATGTAGATGTTGTTGATTTATTGGAAAAAGTCTTTCAAAACAGAGGTAAAGCGATAGTGTAAACTGAGACAGTCGACTATACATTAGAATATCTGGAGAACATATGATTTCACCACGCTAATTTGGATTGGCATCTTACCAAACAAAAAGGTTCTCTTGACCATTATTTTTCTGATTGACACAGTTTCTCTAAAGAGAAAAAGTGTTCTCTTGACAAGTGTGTCAAAGTTAATAAGGGACAATTCTTCATTGTTAGAAGGCCGTATTTGCCTTTCCAGTTAATTTGCACAAAAAAAGCAAGGAGATCAGGACAGTGCTATTTGAAAAGTTTTCCTTATGATACAATTCATAAAAAGGCCGTCTATGATAGAATTGGTGTAATACTGTCTTAATTTAGTGCTTTGAGTACCAAATTTATAAGAATATGCCACTTGTAGAGCTTTACAAAATGGTCGATGAGTTTTATGAATCTCATATACTTTTTCAAATTATAAGCGCTAATGTAGAAGCCATGTAAAGGTCTCACTAAATCCTCAATTGGGTGATTAGAATTTGATGATCCTTCAGAACAAGGATTTGGCCAAAGAAAACATTTAATGTTTTGGTTTATTTATTGAGCTTTGGGGTACACTGATTGCCAAAACCACCAAATTTCTGACTCAAAAATATCATTCCAAGACACTTTTGTAAACCTTATAAACAAAAAAGGTTCCAGAAGCGATTCTTCTTTCGTATTTCTCTAATAATTAGAGCAGCAATGTCATAAGTGTGTTAGTGACAGATTAAAGTTATCAACTCTCATGTGATGTAATACATGAAAAACTGATATATGGTAATATACTTTTGTAACAATGTAGACTGTAGTTGTAGTGTTTCACCTTTTTGTCATATGCGTTTATCCAACTATTCTTTGTAGTTATCCTTCTAGACCAAAGATGGTATTTAATTTTTAAACTATACCTTACTTTGCCAACTTATTTGTATGTTCTGGTAGTCAGATCCTTGTGTTCATAATTGATTGGTGTTCTTTTGAGCTGCCTTATTCAGAGTGATCATCTGACAAAATTTGCAGACATCTATTCCAATTCAAAGACTGGGAATTCTAGTGTATGGCTTCTAGGCGGAATATTAATTACAGTCGTCTCGCTGTGGATGAAGATGACGACTATTATGGAAATTCTGGCAAGCGAGCTGACCCTAGATTTGATTATTCACCAAAATCGTTAGATAGAATCCCCTGGAAGTCCATTGCCCTTGCTCTTTTTCTGCTTTTTCTGGGATGTCTACTTCTCTTACTATCCTACTTCATCTTATCTGGTCATATGGAAGGAGAGAGTTCCCAGGCATATGGTCTCCTTGGACTTGGAATCCTCACTTTTCTCCCTGGTAAGTCAAAAACATACATCAATTTATACTGCTTTGGATGCTTAAGCTACAAAATTTTTGTCCATAATTATTCAACATATCCTTGAGGAGAGTGTAGAAGTTCATTAAGTTCAGAATCAATTTGCAGCTGTGCTATTTATTTGACAGCATGATTATCAGTTTGTGTTAACAAGGTAACTTACATTGAATTTGCAGCATAATAAACAATTACCATTTTCAAAAAAAAAATTGCAGCATAATAAATAGGTGAGATATTAAATGGTTGAGCTATTTGTCACCGTGTCTGTCCTCACTATAGTTGCAAGAAGCGCCATATCAAGGTGATTGTAGATCTGCACTTGAAAATGGTCATATTTAATCGATTTTTTGGGATGTCCATTACATGTAAACTTGTGCAATAGGCAATAGATTCTGCTTCAAGTCATATTTTCTCTGTTTTGTTTAGACAGTCTTGAGTCTAATACTGCCTACGCTTCTGGGTATTTAGTTCTTCATTTAAGTTTCATATTCATTTTTACATTAGTAAGTTGGTTAGGCAACTTCCAACGATCAACTTTGACCTTGATAATTACTTACAGGTTTCTATGAGACGCGGATTGCATATTACTCTTGGAGAGGTGCTCAAGGTTATCGATTTACTGCAATCCCTGACTATTGAGGTCTTCACATTTCATGTAAACTCTAAATGTATTTACTAGTTTCTGTAATGAGTTTGTTATAGTTTATATTTCTAACACGCATTTGGTCCCTTACATTTCAAATAACTTATGAATGTAGTTTCTGTGTTTCTTAATGAGTTCGAATTTGATGAGTTTGCAGCATTTATTTTGTTCTAGTCCCTTGCGCGTCGATTGGAATTTTGTTCATTATGTAATTTTTGTATGGTTGGCGCCCCCATGTGGTGTATTCGATACATCATATTCTACCATATGAAGGACTAACTTCAGGAAGCAGTTTACGCTCTGTGGTTCTTGATTTTTCGATGTGCATACAATATGGTTTGATACTTTTCCAATTTGAGAGAGGATATTTTAAACTTGATTTATGTGTGAAGTAAAAATCATAGGATAAGATGTGGTGAACCATTTAGGCGGAATGACCTTAAAGATTCTTGTGCCTATTGTGGTTTGTCATCCCGACTCTTGTACGAAGTTTCATTCAGACACTTCAACTTGATTAAAACAAGCATTTTAAACTATCTCTATAACTACATGTGACCCTCAATCGCGCCACATCAGATGAAAGTTGTCACGTCATTTTTCATCTTTACAAATATTATTGAGATTATGATGATCTTCTATAATCTAATTAGCCTTAGGAATTGAGATACATTTGCAACATTGAATAAATCAAAACAAGTATAATGATATGTTTATCTCGATTCTAAATTTAGATTGACTACACCACCAAGGAGTGTGATGGGAAAATTGAGATACTTCTAATTATTATCAGAAATCCCGTGTTCGAATTTTAAGAGTTCACTTTCGCGCTAACGTGAAATTTAGTTGAATCCTAATGCAAAGTATCCGAACAACAACAAAAAATACTATATACTATATAGGCATATGCTTTATTAGCAGCTAACATTGAAGCTTAAGGCAATGCTGCATTCTGTTTGCTTGGCATCTCCACTTCACTCTCCGAAACTCAAAGACTCCATTAATGGCACTTCAGAAATACCCAATACTACCCTTCTCCACCATTTCACTTCTCCATTCGAGCTCAAACAAGCTGTTGCCTTTCTCATCAAAACCAATAAACCTCTTTCACTACTCCCACTTTCTCGGGTAGCTTCCATTTGCGCACTTACTCCCGATTTCCCCTTTGCTCAACAGATTTTCAGCTCTGTTGATCAGCAAGAAGTTGCTATATGGAATAGCTGTTTGAGACATCTTGCTGAAGGTAGTTCTTTAATTGATGCAGTTTACTTGTTTCATCAAATGCGTAGTTACAATGTGAGTCTTGACTGTTTCACTTGCTCGTTTGTTCTTAAGGCTTGTGTTGGGTTACGGTATCTTTTACATGGGAGAATTGTTCATGGGTATATAGAGAAACTTGGGTTTCAATCGAACTTAGTTTTGTTAAATTCTCTTCTTCATTTGTATGCTACTTGTGGAGCAATGGCTGATGCGAACCTTCTGTTCGATAAAATGCCTCAACGAGATGTTGTGTCCTGGAACATAATGATTACCCAATTAGCGAAAAAGGGTGATGTTGATGGGGCGTTTGACTTGTTTGAGAAAATGCCTGAGAGAAATTTAAGGTCTTGGACTGCTATGATTACTGGTTTTGTTCATTGCGGGAAGGCTAAAGAGGCTATTAGACTTTTCGTAGAAATGGAAGAGACGGGGTTGAGGGCGAATGAGGTGACTGTAGTGGCTGTTCTTGCAGCTTGTGCTGATTTGGGTGCACTTGAATTGGGTAGGAGGATTCATGAGTATTCAAATAAGAGCGGGTTCAAGAGAAACGTTCACATTTGTAACACTCTGATTGACATGTACATTAAGTGTGGCTGCTTAGAGGCTGCAAAAGTTGTTTTCGATGAAATGAAGGAACGAACAATTGTATCATGGTCAGCTATGATCCAGGGTTTAGCTATCCATGGACACGGTGATGAAGCTTTAGAACTCTTTAACGAGATGATCAAAATGGGAATGAAGCCTAATGAGGTCACGTTTCTTGGAATCTTGCATGCTTGCAGCCATATGGGGTTGATCAACAAGGGGCGCGAACTTTTTACTAGCATGAGTAGAGACTATAACATTTCCCCTCAAATCGAGCATTATGGTTGCATGGTTGATCTCTTGAGTCGAGCAGGACTTCTTCAAGACGCATATGAGCTCATCACAAGCATGCCTATAAAACCAAATGCTGTTGTATGGGGTTCTTTTCTTGGTGGATGTAGAATTCAAAAGGATGTGAAAATGGCTGAGGAAGCTATCAGGCAACTAGGTGTCCTAGACCCTCTTAACGATGGATACTACATTATCATGTCTAACATTTATGCAGAAGCTAAGCGTTGGGAAGATGCAGCAAGGGTAAGGAAATTGATGAAAGATCGCGGAGTAAAGAAAACTCCAGGTTGGAGTTCAATTACTATAGCAGGAGCAACGCACGAATTTGTGGCTGGAGATGATAACCATCCTCAGGCTGAGCAGATCATTAAGAGATGGGATGAACTGCTAGAACAAATGAAGTCCAAAGGGTATGTACCAAATACATCAGTGATTCTACTTGACATAGAAGAGAATGAGAAAGAAAAATATGTGTATCGCCATAGTGAGAAATTGGCTCTTGTTTTCGGTTTGATGAACATAAAGCCAGGAGAAACGATCAGAATAATGAAGAATCTTCGCGTTTGTGAAGATTGTCATGCTGCTTTCAAAGTAATATCAGAAATTGTCAAGAGAGAGATAGTTGTGCGCGATAGGAATAGGTTTCATTGTTTTAAAGATGGATTTTGTTCTTGTAAAGACTATTGGTAACAAATCTTGCACTTGGAGACCTTTTGTATACTGCAATATATTGTTTTCTTGATTCAAATGAAGCATTGAACTTCCAATACAAAGTCAAAATATATTTGTTTTGATAATCGAGAAATCTCTGAAGGTCAGTATCACATAATTCGAAACTCAGGACAGAATAGGCTTGATTGAAATTGAAATGCAGTTTGTAAATTAGATTTTACCAACAACATTTTAAAAAATATATTTAACAAAAGAGGAAAAACAGCATAATCATAACTTGCCAATGTGCTCTTAATAAATAAGTTAAAACATAGAATATTGTTAAGGAAATGCCACATAAAAATCCCAAGACAATAGATATGTAAGTGTAAGAGCTCATATGAGATGGATGATAATGGAAGGGTCACATTGCATCACTTTCCTAAATTAAAAGGACCAGTCTACAATTTAGTATTTTGTTTTTACTCCAAACTTTTAATAATCGTGTTTGATTTGGGGATTTCTCGATAGAGAAATGTTAAAAATGATCCTTTATGTTTGAGAGTAAACTCAAAATAATCATTTAAGTATCCACTGAACAATGTTGGTGCTTCCAATGTACCAATAAGTTAAAACACTTGTAATCCCAATCAAATATTTTCCAAATTTTATCAAAGTTGAACTTTTTAAAAAATAACTATATACACCAAAAAGTCTCATCAAATCCTAAAATATGCCACACAATAAGTTGCACTAAATTTAAAAAGATATTAAAAATAAAGTTAAAATTATACCTCAAAAATCGTCACTAGACTTAAGAACTAAATTTAAAATAGCAAAAACTACAAAATTTCACCTCTAAATACGAGTTTCCGCTAATTTCCTTCTTCTTTTCATAGTTTACATCAAATATAATAGACATAATTCGATAAATGTTTGACGAAGACTAAAATTATTAACTTTGCAAACTTAAAAGGACCAAAATTGTTCAATACATACTTAAGGGTATTTTTCGCTACTCTCAAACATAGAGACCATTTTTGCCATTTTCTCGCCCTGTTTGAATCTTCCAAAAACTACAATAAATGCCCAATAAAGTTTTTATTTTTCACAATATCAGTTCAATTGTATTTTGCAGAAATGGGATCTTCTGAAGGTCGAAGAGCAACTTTAATGGTGTATAGAAATCTACTCAAAGCAGTGAAAAAACATATAGGGAGGGAAGAACACAAAGCTCATTTTACTGATTTCAGCAGGGAAGAATTCAAGAAGAATATAAATCTGGAATACCTAAAAGACTCTTCTTTTATTCAGCAAAGAATTAATCTTGCTCAAAATTATACTTGTCTTCTCAATAGTATCCATCATCATAAGGTAGCTTCATCTCTTTAATTAATTATCCCCATTTTTTGTTTAGTTGTATCCCCTCTTTTTCTTGTTACTTGTTGTATTGTATCATATTGTTGTTTTAAGTACTATGTTTGTTTTGATTGTTATGAAAGATTTCGTTTTTATGTATAATGACTTATTTGGTGTGGTTGCATCCGGTGGCGGATTTAGGATTTTCACTTACGGAGTTCAAAATATGAAAGCCGAAAGTTGTTCAACATCTGTTGTATATGCATGTATAAACAGTGTAATCCTCAGCCCTACCTAGCTCCACCCCTAGACTCGTGTTATTATCTTATTGGAAGGGAAGCCTTGTGTAACCGGTAAAATTGTTGTCACGTGATTAGGAGGTTATAGTTTGAGTGTGGAAATGTAAGGTAAGATTGCATACAATAGCCCTTCCCCAGACTCCATTCATAGCGGGAGCTTTTGTTTCTTGGCTAAGATGAAATAGACATAGTTAATTATAACTCTTTATTATAGTGTTAGTAGTGGAAGAATATATGACAACATATCCAATGTAGTTCTACGAAGTGGGGAAGTAGTGTTAGTAATGGAAGAATATATGAAAACAATTGTTAAAAAGTAATTAAAAGTTAGTTTGAGAGTCGTTTTAAAAGTGTTAGATAAATTTGGACATGAGAAGTATGTAAATGAAATGTCTAGTTTGTTTATAATGTTTAATTTACTTAGTTAAGGCGTATAGCCTAGTGAATTGTAAGTATCACAGAAGGTAGTGAGGACAACAATGTTATGTGGATTGAATGTTTCATATCTAGTTGGTTTATAATGTTTTAATTTACTTGGTTAAGGCGTATAGCCTGGTGAATTGTAAGTGTCACAGAAGGTAGTGAGGATAACAATGTTATGTGGATTGAATGTTTAGTCTTTAGGGTCCTATGCACCTACAATATTAGAGCTCACAAAAATGTTGATGTCAAGATGTATGTGTAATCACACAATATCAGATAAGATTATAAGTCATCACATTCAGTAGAGAGTGGAAGTGGCACAGTGTAGGATAAAATAAGAGGTCACTTGAGATAGTGGTGCGATACTATGATAATTGGAGGTGCTATAAGGGAATGAGGTAGACTGAAAATAATATGGAGGAAAATTCTCAGTAGATGTACAATTTCTTGGAATCAATGTAAATTTTGTTAAGGATAAAAAGGGTTACATAAAGTCTATACCAATTGGTTAGATTAAGGTTTTGTTAATGTTGTATATTCGATCATATTACGAAAGATTTTTTTTTTCTTCTGATAAGCCTAATGTATAGCTGTAACTAGTCGTCTTAATGTTATTACTTGACCATAAGTTGAAACAATTTAAAGGGTGTCATGGGAAGTCTTTCTTTCTCAACTATAACATTTTTTTGTGTGGTGAACTCTCTCCGCGATCATGATTCTTTGGCTCTTACATTCTTGTTATCTTGAATTGTGATAATAATTGTATCTTACAAATGTGGCTTTCTTTGTTTTTGCAGGACTTGTTATTTTCTTACAACATCGCAGTGGATAGATCAAATGAGATGACAAAAGTGCTGGGCAAATCTGCTGCAAGTGTGGGTCTACGCCTTCCTGATGTTTATCAGCATTAAAAGTTGGTAGGTTTTCACTGTTTCCTTTCCATTCGCTTGATTATGTGACTTTGTGGTAAACAATGGATCCATTTATGTTGTGTTGTTTATGGTCCAAAAATTGCCATGTCATAGCACGTTAAGCTTGGAAAGTCTGTATGTCTAAGAAATGAAAGAACCAATGGAAATGATAGAGCTAACGAGCTTCATGTTGTAGCATGTTACTCAAATTTATATTTTTTCAACTTCTTAATGGATGTTTCCTTTCTAGCAATTTGGTTAGGATCTAAATATACTTTCTTTCTTTGTTGATGAATCCGATGAATAGTTTTTCCATGTGGAAAGGAACCTCATTGCTGCAATGGCTAATTGAATTCAGGACTCAGATCATTAATTGTCTCACTTGATAGAATTTAAGATTTCGGAAGCTGCATTACTCACTGCCTTTCGTCTTTTACTTGAGTGGTTGTATTGGACGTGAAATTGTGTAATCCAGGTCAAACAACTGTAATTGATGGAGTCGTAGCTAGAAATACATCTACCTAGGATTATGCCCTGGATGGTGGTGGCTCCTGTGTTGCTATTGTCGGGTTGTTGATGGAGATTTGCATCTATGATGTTACTGGACATTGTGGTGGCTCTGATTTTGCCAAAAGCTTGATGTACTTTTATATGAATGAGTCGGATAAATTCTTGTGGAAATGTGAATGGTTCCATAAAACGTTTAACATTTACTACTTATCTGCAAAGTTTTTGATCCATTTCAACATTCTTGCTTGTTTGCAGCATATGCATCACATAGAGTCCATCTCTTAGTCTTATATATACACATTTTCTAAATGTACGTGTTGTTTGCAGTACTGGTATCATGTCGAAGGTGGTTTCAGATGATTCAACAAAACTGCAAGCTGATATCCCAGATATCCTAGAACAACTTTCATTCATATCTCCTTAGGATAACAATTTCACAGATTTGTCCTATGTTGGACAGAATGTTTTTGGTTTGATGAACACCAAACCATGAGAGACAATCAGAATAATGAAGAATTCTTCGCGTTTGTGAAGACTGCTTCAAAGTAATATAAGAAATTGCCAAGCTAGAGATAGTTGTGCCTGATAGGTTTCATTGCATATGAGAACTCATTAGTCCATTTGAGCATGTTGTTTCTGTTTGTTGCTATTGTCTCTTTTTTCACTATTCATTCTACTGAGGATTTTTAGAAACAACCTATGTACCTACTTTACCATCCCTAGACCCCACTTACAGAATTACACTGAATTTGTTGTCGTTGTTGTTGAGTCTCACTAAAATCTTGCAAGTTATGTTATACAGAAACATTTGGTCAATTATTGAAAAAGAATATGATTACTCCTTTGTTGTAAAAAAAAAAATTAGTTGGGGTCAACAATGTCTAGTTGTTTTGTAATGTTAATTAGTGAATGTATCATCCTTCAATAAACTATGCAATTGCTCAAATAAACAATGGCTTTGAAAGTGACAGAGGTCAGACCAATTTGACCAAATCATGTCATGTCATGTCCCTTTGTAGAGTTGTGGAGTACCTCAAATTCAGGTACTCAACTATAATCTAAATTTTAAAATAATCATACTTTTTTTCGATTCGTATTATTTGTCTTTTAAAGTCTTTGCTTAATCATAAGAGTATTCGTCTACCTACTAACCGATGACGGATGGATAATATAAATAGTGTTTTTGATACATGGTATAAGAATCTTTTGTCTTTTAATTTAAATAATGTAAAATCAAAAGTCAAGTAGAGCACTAAGTAAACCTTACAAAAACTATTCATGAAGATTCTATAACTATTCCATATGAAAAATCACTAAAATGTTAATAAATAATATATTCTGAACTAATAATTTCTTGAAATATGTAATGATTTAGTCGTAAGAACTTAATATGTTCTACCTTTTTCTTTTTTTAAAATACTCGGCAAATTTTAGTATATCTAATTATTTGGCCAGATTCAATAATTATTAGATATAATAACATAATTTGCTTTTAAAAAATTAGGAAAAAAGGAAAAATTTGACATTATTCCCTCTTCACATGCAATTA